GTCAAAGATGCTTTACTTCACTTCGCTCAAAACCATTGAAAGTTGGAAAAACATTCGGTCGATCTCTCTTTCAACTAACTGATTGGAAAAAGAAGAAACCATTCAAACCCTAATCCTTAATTTAATAAATAGTAGTAGTAAATATCATTGAATGGTGTGTCTCATGTTGGGAGTAGAGGCCAAATGGGAATGTGGGTTTTAATAAAGAAAGAAAGCTAAGCTAACAAAGCAAGACACCGAACGATGCCTTGGCCTTTAACAAAGATTACTATGTCAAATGGGAATGTGTCTATCTTGATCGCTTAGGAAAAGACAATCACAAGTGTTCAAACCTAGTTCTTAGTTGCTATATCAAAATCAGTATGTGTAAATAATATGAGTAAGTTTTCAGTTTATATTTGAATAAAATGTGGTATTTATTTGAAACACTCTCAATCATTTGACAACAAACGTTCATATACCTCTGCAAATGTCGTGTTAGAACCCGAGACCTCAAGGAATAATATCAATCTCTTAAATACTGAAATCACTTAGTCTGTACTATTGGTCTAATGGTTAGGTTGAAGGTTGGGGAATATTTGGTATTTGGATTTAATTTTATCATGCATAAATATCATGTGAGGATTTTAAGTTTAAATTTTATTCTGGTTTCAGTTTTATTTTTACACTCACGTTTATTCAGTCCCAATTGTTCTGAAAGCTTTAAATTAGTTTAAATAAATCTTCATCCAAATACACTCTTAAGAAAAATAATAATTTCTCTTAAATATTCTAGATGAAAATTTTGAAGAATTCTTTTCACGTTATAGTGGAAGAAGGTCAAAGAAAATTTTCAAATACTTTTTATTATCCAAATATAATTTAATATATACAATGATGTAAAAGAGAGAATTAATAAAAAAATTATTATTTTTATTTAATTATTAATATTTGATTTATAAATTGATTAATCTAGATCGAGTACTATAGACATTAATTAAATGTATGATATAACTTTAATTTCGTTCAAAATTTAAAAAAAAAATCCGTCGTGAACCACATCGGCTGGCTCGCAAGACTTAATAAAAGAATTCAGCAATCAAAGGCTGTTTACTCGTTAATCAGTGATGTCGTTTCTCTCATGATTGTAGGGAAACTTCTATTAATATCTTCGCTAATTTCCCAAAATTTTCAACATGTTTTATGGCAACGTTATAAAAGGGTTATATATAGATGTACATGGTTGGATTGGAGGATTTTTAGTCGCTTTAAATTTTATTTTAATATTATATTTTTTTATTTATCAATTTATAGATTAAAATTTATATTTGTTCCGATATAAATATATATTATTTATTATACAAAATATTAATTTAGTTGAAAATATATAAAAATTTTATTATTATAATTATCTTACATATTTAAGAGATAATTATATTATTATCTTATTTCGGGTTAAATATTTTCACCCTAAATATGAATCTGATCCGATCTGGCCTAAATTAAAAAAAACACATGACATTATAGGTTTGGGTCATATCAAAACTCATCGAATTCAAATCAAATGCCCATCCATGTATATATATATATATATTGAGTTATGATCCACTTACACCAAATGTAAAACTAAGAGTTTTACACCCTTTTAGGACTCTTGGATGAGAAAAATCAAAAGTTGAGATTAACTCATTTTTTCCCCTAATGAATATATTCTCATTTCGTATTGTTATTATAAGCCTTTGATTTCTCCATCCAACGGTCCTAACAAGGTGTCGTTTTTTTTTCCAGTGAATATCTTCTCATTTTCTAATGTTAATCTCAGCCTTTTATTTTCCTCATCCAACAGTCCTGAGAAGGTGTAATACAATTATTTTGTATGTTGGGTGTAATTGCATCCTACCCCTATACTCGGCCTTTAATTTTCCTAATTAAACGGTTCTAAAAATGTGTAAAACTAATATATTTACACTACGTGTAAATAGATCTTAATCCATATATATATATATATATATCACAGATAAAGACAGAGCCAAAATGAAATTTTAGGAAATAATTATAAAATAAAGATTATAAAATCTAATTATTAAGTAATTAATTTTTAAAATTTTAAAAATTAAAGTATGGTGTTATAATTTATTTAATTTTAAAATTTATGGGGAATTAAGAAGTCTTCAAATTGAAGAAAAAATGACTCATAATTTAACTTATTCAATTTCAAAACTAAAAAGGACTTCAAAAATAATTTGAACCAAAAATTAATGGAAAAAAAAACCTTAAGTCTTCTGTAATTCTTCTAGTCTTTGGCCATCGACCTGGGCATGAATGTGTGAATTTTATCAATTAAAATATCATACATGGATTCGAGTTTAATTTTAAATCAATTTATATTTAAACATATACGATTTTATCTAGATTTACTTTAACTAAGTTATTATTAATTATGTTTTTTATATTTGTGACTATTATTCTAAATTTTATGTAGTATTAATAAATAGATTTTATATGATGAGTTTATGACTATGGATACGTTAAAATAATTAGCATACAACACTTTCTGAACGAAATGGGAACTCTACTTTGCAAACTTTCCATTTTGAAGAATTTTCCACACGTTTTTAAAATAATTATATATATAGTAATTCGTATAACCAATTTGAAAGCTATATATATATATATAATGATAGATGTACGTATATTTGAGAGTGAACATATGTTTATTTTAAAATTTAATTTTTTTCGATTAATTATTTATTTTACTGATTGTGCTCATCTTAAAATTTTATTTTTACTTATCCTACTCGAAATTTTATATTATTAACATATGTGTTTCTACTCAAAAAAATATTTTTACGTTCCTATTATATATATAAATATATATAATACGAATCTAGAAATATTTAGAACCAACCCACTGATATGTGGAACCATCACTGCCAACCACTTGGCAATGTAACCAACCAATGTTGTTTGGTTTATAGGATCTTTGTGGTGTAAGACCAGGACTGCCCCAACAAAAGCTGACTTTGACTTTAGGCTATTTCCCAAACATTCCAGACACAATCCAAAATGGGTTCCATTGCTTTGTCCTTTCCCCTACACAATACCAACATTAATCAACAATAACCTCAACTACAAGCTCCCCTATGATCGAGGGGTTAACAGTCTCTTTAAAAATTTTAATTTCTTAGATATTTTAAATATTTATTTTTATTTTCTATTGATAATATATTTTCATTTACCTTTAAATTTTATAAATTCATTCTCATTAAAATTTTAAACTAATACTTCTAACATAAAATTATATGTTCATTCCTGTTTCCTGTAAACCCTTCTTAAAAATCGACTAGACATCATTAATATAATGAATAGTAGAGTTTGAATCTCATAAACAATTTTAATATATGACGAGGCTTACCATTTCCTTACCTTGAACAAAATTAAGGGTGGCAAAAGGTTCATACACTAGCCTTCCGTGAAAAATATGTAAGGAAGTCCATTTAGTATCGGGACAATGTTAATGGTCCTAATAGGCTTTTTTGTTGGTACATATGCACTGAATCTCAACCTCTTACTTCTTTTGTCCTTTGGTTTTAGGACATTTAAGGCAGTACATTCTCCGGTATGCGCTACAGCTTGTACCCGAAAACGTCCACAGCAGCATTTTTGAAACTATACTCTCTTTTGTATATTTTGATGTGACTAGTGGCATAAATTCTATACATTAGTGAGGATATGTAAGTGATCATGTGTGATGATACATTTATGGTAATATTACAATTGACTTTGATGGCATAAATATCACTTCAACATACGGTAGGTGATGAATCATAATGTTAGCGATGATAAGACGATAAACTCAGATAAATAAATGATAATATTCTTCTCTCGATAACCATAGTCGAAATATGGTAAAATATATGAGTATTGGGTGTCTGATTAATTGTATGATTTATGAGTTATTTTAATGATCTAATATAATATTCTCATATCTATAAGTCATTTCATGTTAAATTTAAAATTTTATATTTTAAATTTGAGATGTATAGATAGTAATGCTTTATTTTTATTTAAGAAATTATCCTGATTCGATTTTTAATATATTCAAAGTTGGTTAACGTCTTTTTTTATCTCACCTATACTTCCCGTTTATTTTTTATTTTAATTTAATAGGCGACGACATTAATCTTGGTACTGGTTGTTTACCACATGTATTCATTGTTTCTCATTTACTTTCTTATATGCATATTTACGTTTTATGTATTTTTTTTTAGTTTCTAATAATTCTTCCTTTATGCTACATTTTTCTCTGTCTTCATGACACATTTTTTATTGTTTGATCGTTTTGTCAGGGTTAGATTTTATGACACATCGACTAATTAAGATGATACTTGTTTGTTATCTTGTTATTCTTTCCTGATTTGAACCATCAGATTGGACTTGAATATGCGGTTTGTGTTCATATATAATTTCCTCGCAATGCTCAATTTTGATTTACTGTTGTTAGTGATCCTTCAGTAGTTTAATACTTTGTTGTGATTCGTTTATAGATACAATCACATTTATTCGTATTTATCTTTTGTTTGAGTTTCTTGGATGAGTTTTAATATTTCCCTTATATAGTTTTTGAATGATCTCGATTGATTATTTTATTGCATCAATAGTTAAAAGAAGATATCCTAATTATGTTTCTAAATTTTTTAACTTCATTATAATTTTAAATATGTTTTATTTTTAATAAAAATTAACGACTTTATTTACATTTTCGAAGTTGGTATGACGAGTGTATACCTGGGATCCTGAAGCAAACAAAGAAAAAGGAAACAAATAACGGAGTCATTACTCTAGAATCATAGCTGAGAAACAAAAAGTAAAATTTCCTTCTTCTATTTTAGACGCCGGTTCTCGGTTGACTCCCGATGCCGGTCATAGTCAGCAATACCACATTCACAAAACCCACTATAAAACCCATTAGTTCCCATTCCCCAATCATCTCTCTGGCAGCGTTTTACATACACAAAACAATGTGCCAGTTCACATCCTCCTGCAAATGTGATTCCGACCTCCCTTACCTTCTCTCGGTCCAACACTCGAAAGGTTCGTCCAATATTTACGAACCATTCATCCCTACCAGCCCAACATATAAGCATGAATCCAAGTGTTACTCAACGATTCTCCCTCTTGCAATCAAGGAAGCCATTGCCATTGCTAATATTGCTGTCCCTATGATACTAACAGGGCTCATTTTATATTCCCGTTCCTTGATTTCCATGCTTTTCCTAGGCCGCCTCGGCGAGCTTGCCTTGGCGGGCGGTTCCCTCGCCCTTGGCTTTGCTAATATAACCGGCTACTCCATTCTCTCCGGTCTTGCCATGGGAATGGAATCAATTTGCGGACAAGCGTTTGGTGCTAAACGATACACGGTTCTTGGTATCACGTTGCAGAGAACGGTGCTTTTGCTTCTGGTTTCATCGCTGCCCATTTCTATTCTGTGGATCAACATGAGGAAAATATTGATACTTTGTGGCCAGGACGAAACTATAGCCATGGAAGCACAATGGTATCTTGTTTATTCTCTCCCTGACCTTTTAGTCCAATCATTTTTGCACCCGTTGAGGATCTATCTGCGAACACAATCCATAACTCTTCCTTTGACATGTTGTGCCGTTTTATCAATTCTTCTCCACCTACCAATCAATTACCTTCTCGTATCACACCTTAAACTAGGCATCAAGGGAGTTGCTCTTAGCGGTGTTTGGACAAACTTCAACCTAGTGGCCTCATTGATAATCTACATCCTCTACTTCGGTGTCCACAAAAAGACATGGGGAGGGTTGTCGGTCGAGTGCTTTAAAGAAGGAAAATCGCTTTTGAATTTGGCCATCCCGAGCTGCATTTCGGTCTGCCTGGAATGGTGGTGGTACGAGATCATGATTCTCTTATGTGGCTTGCTCTTGAACCCCAGAGCCACAGTTGCTTCCATGGGGATTTTGATTCAAACGACGGCGTTGATCTACATATTCCCATCTTCACTAAGCTTCAGCGTCTCGACGAGGGTCGGGAACGAGCTCGGTGCAAACCAGCCCAAAAAGGCCAAACTCGCCGCCTTCGTAGGCCTTTACTGTGGCTTCATGCTGGGCTTATCAGCGCTCGTTTTTGCTATAATGGTGAGAAACATATGGGCTAACATGTTCACAGGTGACAAAGAGATCGTTGCATTAACGTCCCTCGTTTTGCCTATAATCGGGCTGTGCGAACTCGGGAACTGCCCGCAGACGACCGGGTGCGGGGTTTTAAGAGGCACAGCTAGGCCGAAAGAAGGCGCAAACATAAACCTCGGTTGCTTTTACCTTGTTGGTATGCCGGTGGCAGTGTGGCTAAGTTTCTTCGCCGGATACGATTTCAAAGGACTGTGGCTCGGAATGTTGGCAGCTCAAGTCTCGTGTATGGTCACCATGTTACTGGTTCTGATCAGAACAGATTGGGAATTCGAGGCCGAAAGAGCTAAGAAGCTGACCGGAGCTCAACTCGTCGTCGATGACAGCAAAGAGAATCAACATCAAGCAGATATCAAGGATGATTCTTTTTCTTCATTAGGTGATTTGGATCATTATTGCCTCGTTTAATCAACTTTTTTTCCGAGTTCTATATGTTACCTTGTATAGATTAACAGGGGCTAGGATGCAATTCATTATTTTCGGATTTTTCGATATACTCATTAATACTCAAACATCACTAAACATATATGCTACATACTATTTTCTCTCTAGTGTACATCAACCTCTAAATTTCAGTATTATCATCTCTTTCGTAATCATACATTCATAAACAAAGTCACGTAAAAGTGAAAAGATACTAAATTTTAATAATAAATAACATTCCACTCAATATATATGAGAAGGGATGGATCAATGTGCAAAATCCAATTCCTTGATTGTCTCTCAAAAGATGGAAAAAGAAGGTTTTGACGCCGGTAGTTGAGCCAAATGAGGCCAACCAAGGGAAAGTTACAAGAAAATTACGATTAGAGGCATGATTTTAGGTTTAATTACTTCCTCGAACTATCTTAGAAAATTTCTCAACCAACTATATGCTGAAAAATGAAAGGCATTTACGTTTGGAAAAGTAATTACCGTTTCCCTAAATTTTGCACGCAGAGAAAAATAGCAGATACCTGTATAAGAATGATTAAAAACTCCAACTAAATAATTTGAAAAAATAAAAAATATTGTTGTTTAATCTATACAAGGTAACATATAAATTAATAAGTCCTTTGAACTGAACATATAAGGTGATGGTGGTTGTAAATCTAAAAAAATAAGAAGTATATGAAATTAAAAATTAAAAAGATAAAAAAAAGAAGAGAATAATAAGAAAAATGCATCACGGGTTATTTATAAACATATAAACTTAAATAGTTAATTTTTTTATTAATTTATTGTATATTAATTATTAAATTATTATATTTTTTAATTAATCATTAGTATCCGATATATTAACCGATTAATTTAATCTGTTATATAATTAACTACTATTTTTGTTAAAACGTGATAGTATTATTCATTTGGCTTAAATTTAATTTCTACTTTCATAAATAAAAAGTAAAGATTACCTTCTTAATCTTTGTAAAAAAATATAAAAGTTCAAGATTAAATGAAAATTTATTTCAAGGATAGTATTAATTTATATAGTTATTTGACCCAGGAACTGGAAAAATCTTCATGAGATCTTAAAATTTGTGCGAATTATTACAGTAAGCAAGCGAAGATTGTCGTGACATCAACGAACTTAACCTCGAAAAACCTAAAAAAATAAAATAAAACAGAAAGACAAAACATAAATCACTTTGGTTTGATGAGTGGTATTATATTAAACACCTAAAACCTTAGATTTGTCAATTGAGTTGCACTGGCACCACGTATTCTCCCTTTTGTGACGGCCGCCTCCTCGCTCCAGCTGCCTTAAAAGACTTCAACACTTCCACTTTGTTAGGGCAATTTTTTTAAATTCCAGTTAATAAATAATGACGTTTGTTCGCTCTAAAAAATTAAGAATACTAGTGATTAAGGATATGTTATTATCTATGAAGTTTTGGGTTCGAGTATTATGTATGTCAAGTATATGAATATTTATTATCAAATGATTGAGAGTTTTTTAGTATATAATGTCTTATATTCACCTTAGTATTATAAAAAAATATAGTTTTTATAATACCGCATTATATTTTTGAATTTAATAAAAGTAATATAATTGGCAAAACTCACGACATAATGCATTCAAAAAAAATATTTCACGAGATGCTACACTGACTAGATTAATTGCTGAGATAGGGTTAATTCTATAGTCCCCACGTAGGTCGTCATACCATCCCCGCGAACTGTGGTGAGATGAGGTAGGTCGCCATGCACGCCCAGCGACCAACGTTCTGCCTCTGCCCACGCCTGCTCCAGCTCGCCACTAAAACCTATGTTTACTTCAAGTCCAAATAATCTCCTGCTCCCCGCATATGGCTGACTCTCAGCATTCCTCTTCTGGTAAAATTGATTTACAATCTTCAGGTAAACTCTTTACTTTCATTTACCCTTCTTGTATGTTTAAATTTGTTGGTCGTCGGGCGTGCATGACGACCTACCTCATCTCACCACAGTTTGCGGGGACGGCATGGCGACCTACGTGGGGACTGTAGAATTAACCCTATCTCAGCAATTAATCTGGCCAGTGCATCATCTCGTGAAATATTTTTTTTGAAAGCATTATGTCGTGAGTTTTGCCATATACTATTGCATGGAGAGCCTGAAAATAGCAGAATCTCTGGCGTGTTAACCAAATGATCATATTTCGCATATGCAGAGTTTGGAGTCGGGACCATGAGATCTAAAGCCTTGGAATTTGATGATCTCTCTGTTGATTTTGGAACTTCAGAAAGATTTCATGCCATTATTTCCCCTTAAATTTCTTTGGACAGTATACGCAAATTAAGGATTTTATTTGACAAAATGCTTTTATAAAGTATTTTTTATATATAAAAATAAATATTTAATGTAATACTCATCATAATAAAGCATTGTATACACATGTTTATTAAACGCTATAACTTCCACTATCATAGTAAAAATTATCTACTGTTATATTTTAATACATTAATAAAATTATCTGTATATAGTTAATTAAAAAGTACATCCAACATTCTAAACCAATTTGGCTTGGGGGTAATGAGCCTGTAACCTGCTATTCACATGCTTTTGCAGCAAACAAGCTGCACTTTATAATTTCTATTTACATTTATTTACACACTCCCATATACATTTATTTATATATATACAATACGAAAACAAAAAATGAAGTCCAAAATTGACAATTAAGCAAAATTATTAAAAAAAAACACACATGTTTTATGAAATGTACTTATATATATTTTAATAATCATTGCTCGTACATGTGCTTATATCATAGGTGACGTCCCTAATCACATGCCCTTGAACTGAGTCATTTACTCTATTTGCATAAAGTCTACCCTTACAACAAAATAAATCCTACGTAGATTTGAAAGAAAATTACCGAAAAAAAAATATAAGAATAAGATGGGAAAACTTATCTAATCATTAGGGTTGCAGGAAGGGCAATCCAAAAACGCAGCGAATTGTTGATGCATGTAGATTGAGAACACATCGTTTTCAATAGAAACCGCAGCAATCATAATATCTCAATGATTTCAGAAAGATTTCCAGAGATAAGATCGAACCATCATTGATGAATAAACAAGTCCTATGAGCAGATAGCAATGGGGACTTGTAAACAAATTCGAGTTAATTCATGAATAAATTATGAAGAAAAAAATACGTTAGATTTGTATGCATTTTTGAAAAGAACCAAGAGAACTGATGAGAGCAATCATATATAGCATTATTAGGTCAAATGAACTTTAATCGAAAGGAACAGTTTTGCTTTTGATTAAGGCAAAGGGGCACTTTTTGATTTTGGTCAGAGGTTTTAGGAGATATGAAAGGCCAGATATTCATGTTGTTTGTGAAAGGGCGTGCGAAAAGGTCTGAGTCGGAGCTATTTCATGTTATTATACTCACAGTTGCTGAAAAAATTTATATTTTCTGCACTTTAATGAGAAAGATATTTAATATGTATAAACCGAATTTGTAATATTTAATGTTTAAGCATGTGATATGCATCATCAGAGGTGATCTTATAGAGTTATCTTTCAACTTTTTTTTCTTATCATGATTGTTCGGGTTTAAATTCAAGATTATATGTCAATCAAAATAAAATAACTAGAGATTATATATTAATCAAAATTAAAATAATTAAAGATAATATTTCAATTAAAATCAAAGTAACTAGAGATAATATGCCAATCAAGAAATTCATTAATATAAAAAAATAATAAGAATACAAGAAGATTGTCGCTATCCACGACTTTCAAAGTTTAATCGATTAATTTCTAACCCTAGTCACTAACATCTATTTATAAGGATAATATTTGATCACGAATGAAATTCACGTAATAATAAATCTACTCAATTTTTTTTTTAATTTTGATAAAAGTCTGACGGAAGAAGTAATCGGTTAGCCATTTTTCTCCCATCATAGTACGCTTGTTTCTAGTAGAAAGTGAGAAGCTTGGTGAAAGCATGCATTTACGTTACGAAGAGGCCATGCATGCAATAGCAAATTAATATACCAACACCAAAGAAATACAAAGAAGAATTAAAAAAAAGATGTATACGAGCGCTTCAGCAAAGCAACATTGAACAGTATGCAGGACAACAAAAAGGGATGATTACGTGAAGAATGGGATTGGATATAAATAATATGCATAAACACACACACACAATAATTAGCATTTCGGTTTTGTAGTAATGCATATTGCATTTCCGATCAAGCTAATGAAGTTCAAACTCTGAAGATAATATTATTAAGAGAAAAAAATCATAAATCCAAAATCAAAACTTAAAACGAATTCCATATACTAGAATATGTACTTGACATTAGCCTTGCATTAGGGTCAGTTTCACAGAATGAACCACATGCATAATCCAAACGAAAAAGAGTATGAGATCATGGAACATTACGAGGATAATGGCAGCAGCGAAGGTATGTAGTGGTGCCCTCTTTCAAGCATTGGGGTGAAATTTGTGATGGGTCATAGGCCATGGTTTTAGGCAACCCAACCGGTCTATGGTCATGCAACTCTATATGTATGTGTATTCATCACAATATGATCTTCAAACTTGGATTTAAAAAAATTAATAACTCGATTTAACCATGTGTAATTTGTGGGAAAAAATTAATTGAGCTCATAGACCAATTAAGAGAAATTAAAAGAATAAAGGTCTGATTTTTTTTTTTAAAAAAAAAGAATGGGCTTCACAAAGATACCAAATGATGGCTTTAAAAACAAATTTTTATTTTAGGATAAATATAATTTTTTTGAGCTACCTCATACCTCAATGGTAAAAAAGAATATTATTTTTTTAGAAGTCCTATATTCCAGCAGCTCTATATGTAAAGTGTGTATTCTTTATCAAAAGGTTAAAAAAATTACGAACATATATTACTTTATAATCATTCTAGACCATTAAAAAAATAATTTAGAGTAAATATATATTTTTAT